TGAGAACTGATAAAGAAAAGTCCTTTTAAGTTTGCCTGTCTTGCCGTTTGTTAAGAGCCATGAAGCGGGGGACAGAACAGGAATGTATGTTTATTCGGCTCTCAGGGCAGTTGGTAAAGGAAACATCTTCACATTTGTTTATTGGCTAAAATCTGCATTCTAAGTAATGGGAGCGATCTCTACTGCTTTAATTCTACTTGCATTGCCTAAGGGGATTCAAATGTTGCTTTGAATTCAATGGCTGCCATTCTATTTAATAAAAGGTTCCTTTTGAAATACTCCATTTCAAGAGTCTTCACTTTCTTAAGTTAGGAGAGGAGCCCTTACACTGACTATGATTAGTAAGAAAAACGAAAGTTTCAAGGAGAGAGAGTTGAAAAGGAGGAAAAGATCCTTTATGTTTTTTTTCTTGGGGGGCAAGTACAGCAAACATACCCCCAAATCATAAAATAACCATAAAATGGAGGAAGAAAAGACCATCCCCTCATCTTTCCCAGTGCAATTATATCTCCCAGATTAGAATCCAGTATTGTTTTGGCTTGTTAAAAAGCTTGCAATAGGACTTGCAAAGTCAAAAGCCTGGGGAAGGTATTTTGATTGAGCAAAGACTGGGATGAACTTGGCAAATGTTTGGCCATTTGTCCCTTTAGCTCAACTGACCAAGATAATGGTGAAATGAATTCATCAGTCCACCTGCAGATTTGTGAAAAACTCACTGCCAGGAAGCAGTTAATTTACAGCTCAGTTTGCATTAGAACTATAAGTCTTCCAAAGTCCTTTCCAATGTTATGATTTTATAATTGCTGAATGTTGTTTACCCATGCAAATAGAAATTACTTTCCCCTAAAGATCCACTCACAGAAATCAGTATTTGGTTTCCTTCCATGAGTAGGTTGCAAAAGAAGGCAGGGGAAATTCATTAATCATGGGCTTCAGTAGCTACTATTGGGACTGAGGGTCAGCTAGAATCTGTCAAACTTGAAAACTGGACAGTGATTTTTTAAGCCAGCTTAATTTTTAGTTGAAGGCTGCCACATTTCAGAAAACTCATCAATGTCAAAAATCCATTCAATCATAATATCTAATGGAACTCCTATTCATTTCTGGGGATTTACCTGAATGTAAGATTGTTTTAATATTATATTAAAACAATATTATAAGATTATATTATACATGCAGAGCCATTTGTTAGGGCATGCAAGGTATTGCCCTGTCAGCTCCAGCACGCATACATATGCTGGCCAGCTGACTTTGGCTTTCTTTAAAAGCCGTTTTTCACGGGAAAAACTGGCCCTACTCGCAAACTCGAAGTTCAAGAACAGACTTCCAGTTTGCTCATAGGGCTGTTTTTCACCCTCTTGAGCCTTCAGGGAAACCTCACGAAGGCTCCGGAGGGTGAAAAACGGCCCTACGGATAAACCAGAAGTTACCATTCCCGAACTTCTGGGTTGCCCATAGGGCCATTTTTCATCTCTTGGAGGCTTCAGGGAAGCTCCTGAAGCCTCCAGAGGGCCTTTGTGGGGACTGGGGAGGCTGTTATTGCCCTCCCCAGGCGCCTAGAAAGCCTCTGAAGCCTGGGGAGGGTGAAAAAAGCATGCCAAAAGCAGGGCGGGTAGTACTGGTTGCACACGCATGTGTGTGTGGAGGTCGCACATGCATGCACACTGGGGTCATGCACATATATTATGGGTGAGGGCACACCTGCACATGACACCCCCTTGCATTCCCCCGCTTTTGGCATGCAATCCAAAAAACATTAGCCATCACTGCTATAAACTGTTACATTTTTATTTATCACTATGATATCATAACTTTGCTTATTTAATAAAGTGAAATATAAATAGGATTAAAATGTATTGGTACAACATCAGATGTATTCCAGGAGTATAAGTAACTTCTTGGAATTTAATAGTCTATTTTTAATATAATCCAGTTTTGCCTGTTTTGATTAGCAAATACTTCTAGTATCGTTCACACCTTGTAACCTGAAAACATATATAACTGTAAGGTAATATTTTGAGTATATCTAAAATCTTTTATCTTATCTATTGATCTAAAAAGAAACATGATTTAACAAACATTTTATAGTAATTACAAAACAAAGCTAGATTGTTTAAGGAGGGGCACATCCTGATGCAAGTGCATGAAACATAATTTTGTACTGAAAGTAAAATAATAGCTCAATTTCATTTTATATTGTTGCAGATATGAGCTGATTTTCTCTACATATCTCCTTCAAAATGCTTGCTTTCTAAGCTAGCTATATTCATTCTTTTCCCTCCACTCACCCTAAATATTTTCTTAATTTTAGGATGAAGTCTGTCCAAAAACTGGTGGGGATGAAGTCCAAAGATGCATCTGGGCATCAGCTGCTAATGTCAAGGATAAATTCATATATGTAACTCAACCAACTTTGGACAGAGTGCTAATTGTTGATGTACAATCTCAAAAAGTTGTGCAGGTAAGTTATCTTATTGTATAGTATTTAACTAATTTAAAATGTCCATATTTGAAGATTTTTTTTTTCAACACTACTAGCATTCAAAATATTTTTCAGATAATTTACCAACTCATATTCAGAAAAAGAAACATAGGTCTCCTCACAAATGGTTACCTCAGCTATTGCCTTTCAGATGTTGGGACTCTGAATTTCTGGCCTGTATAAATATTTCTGAGAGCTGTAGATTAAACATTTGAAGTTGGAATATAAAAGTTGTTTTATATTATGTTATACCTTGGAGATATCGCCGAGTACCAGATTTAAATGGACATATGTCCAAATAAATTTGTGGTTCTTTTTCATGCAAAGCTTATTATTATATCTTCAGGAATGAGACAGAGGCTCGTGTCCGGTAACTCTGTAACCAATTTATTTTAACACAACTTGTAACAGTAACAGGTAACAACCAGGCAGGGTGCTGGTTTAACAATGTAGCAACAGAAGGATGATCTGTGTAGAGAGAGAGGCAGAGAAGCAGCTCCAGCTGGACTGGAGTGTTCGTTGCTCTGGTGCTGAACAACTGACAGTTTGAACGAGTCTGCCTTTTATAGTTCCTCAGACTCACCCGGCAACTGACAGGCGCGTCTGATTGGCTAAGACGCGCCTGGCTGCTGCCGAGCTGTCATTCGTAACAGCGAGGACTAACTTTTACTATACAACACTTATATTGTGTGACAAGGGTCCCTAGCCCATGTACCAGTTCATGGCTTGTTAGGAACTGGGCTGCACATCTGGAGGTGAACAAAACTTCATCTGTATTTGCAGTCACTCCCCAGCGCTAGCATCCCCACTTCGGCCCCACTTCAGATCATCAGGCATTAGATTCTCATAGAAGCACGAACTTTACTGTGAAGGGATCTAGCACTCTTCCTCACTCCCTCCAATCCCTGGAAAAATATTCTTCCATGAAACCAGACCAGAGGTGGGTTGCTGCCGGTTCGGCCCGGATCAGGTGAACTGGTAGTAGTAGCAGTGGGAGGCTCCACCCACCCGCCCGGACGCTTCTGCACGACCCACCTCTGAACCAGACCCTGGCGTGAAAAGGGTTGGGGACCACTGACTAAGCAGTGGTCACTGTGTCAGGCTAACCTGGTTTGTGAAATTCCAGAGAGCTTTTACTACTACGCTGTCATAAGGCTTCCAATAAGACCTGAGAAGTGCAAAACATTTTTCAGAGTTAAATCCATTTATTGTATTGTGCTCATATTGTTTTCTGTCAAGAGTGGTTAATAGCCTCCTGTAAAGTACCTGCAAGTGTTTATTGTGAGTGACAAGACAATTTGTCTTCATTGATTATTGATTTGATTTATATTAGGTAAAACAGGAGTTTAAAATAAAGAACATTAAATTTGCTTTTGTCATGCCTATTAGGATCTGGAATTGTACTTACAGATCAGGTTTTAATTCCAGCAGCCAACTATGATTAGATTCTCTATTTTTTTTACTCAGTCCTAAAACACATGTTTTTTTTAAAAAAAATCACTCCTCTACTTTATAACCAAATCAATTTAATGCAGTTTATCAGCCATATATTGTGCCTTACCCCATACTTTAGAAGACCTCCGTTCTTTTAATCCATTCTTCTAATCCCTAGCGGAAGTATAAAAAAATCCTGAAAAGGCATTCCATATTGCATAGATAGTACACATAGATATTATGCATGCTTAACAAACAAACATGTAGAAATCAATTGTGACAAAAATAGTAACAAAAAATTGTGTTCATATGTTTTGACAATCCATGCGACTGGGACATGATTCTGGTATAAGAATAATAAATAAGCTTCTTTATCAATTGCCTTTATATGATTAAAGGGGAGATAATGAATCAAAGCACATATATTTATTTAAGGCAACCAATCTATATATGTTTTCCTGGAGTCACTGGGAACAGATAAATATTTTTAATGATGAAACAATTTCATTTTTTAAAAAGCAGGCATTTTGGGGGATGTTATTTTTTTTGTTTTGTTGGTGAAATGCATCATCATAAAATTTGGAAAACATACAAATGTCAAAAAACAGTTATGGCCTGACTGATGCATTGTTGTAGAATTCAGTTTGCATTAAATTTAGATTTAATTTAATTACCATGCCATACTTGGAGTAACTGAATTCAGTGTAACTGAATGTACAGATATGGATATTAACTATGGATTAAGGAGAAAATAATTAGCTTCACTTTATTACTCTGTTATTTTTCAAATTCACATTCTGCATTAAAGTAGCATCCTCAGATTCATAGAAAAGTGAACTCATCTGCTAATTTATAGCATGATAACGATCATAAAAAATTGTCACTGGAAATGCTTTACAAAATTGTGTAATGTCTGTCCCGCTAGAAAGACCAGATAAGAAAAAACACAAGAAAGCTAAAACTATTTTCTGATTTGTTACAGTAACAGAATTTTGCAAGTCTGACTGTGTGACAATACTTTTCATCCTTCACTCCATTCTTAAATTCAGTGAATTAGGCAGGAATCTGGTTCACTGACAAAACCGCGTTCGACTAAACCGCGCCTGACTAAACCGCGTCGCTGATGTCATCAACAGGGCAACAGCGCGGAGACAGAAGCACGCTGTAAACCCTAAACTTAAAATTAACCCCTAAACCTAAACCTAACCCCCCTAAACCTAATCCTAAACCTAACCCTAAACCTAACCCTAACCCTTAACCTAACCCTAAACCTAACCCTAACTCTTAACCTAACCCTAAAGCTAACCCTAAAGCTAACCCTAAACCTAACCCTTACCTTAAGTTGAATCGGCTTGCTTTCAAAGCGCTATTTAAAGCGCCCTTCTTTCTCCACCCTGGCTGCTGTAACCCTGTTGATGACGTCAGCGATGTGGTTTAGTCGGGTGCGGTTTAGTCGAGCACGGTTTTGATGGGTCACAGAGGAACCTGACTGATCTGCTTCCAAATATTATCTTGATTTTCAGGCATTTAAAACTGCTTTAGTTCGTTTTTCTACATATCCCTCATATCTTTGTCAAAATCATGTTTCTTATAAATGTCCTCTACAGCGTTCCCCAACCTTTCAGGGTTGGCCCAGCATTGGGGTAAGGGGAGAAGAGAAGCTGCTTGCATGAGTAGGTTTGTGCATGCGCCAGCCAGCCTGGTTGCAAATAGAGGACCACTGCTCTACAGTACATTAGGTAAAGGCATACAATAGGAAAAAGCAAGGTTTAGTATGAAATAAATTGGGCACAACAAATTGCTGGAGGCTCTTGAAATTCTCTGATTTGTGCACCAGAAAAACTGTGTAAGCAAATCTCCCAGGAAAGGACAAAATTCTCCAGCATTTCTCATGGGCAACCTTTTCCTTAACATCAACAATAGTTAAGCTCAAGGGAGATCTTAAAAGAGTAGAATATCCTTAATGATCAACTTCCTTAGGATTTAATAAAAACATGGGAAATTGGAGAGATTATGCAGGAGATAACAATGTATTTAAAACTGGGCATCCGTGTAATTTTTTTGCCATTTCACTAATGCTAATCAAATGTCAGACTACCACATTCTACCCATTCTCCTTTGATATAATTTCTAAAGCAGTGTTTCTCAACCTTGGCAACTTGAAGATGTCAGGACTTCAACTCCCAGAATTGCTGGGAGCGAATGCTGGCTGGGGAATTCTGGGAGTTGAAGTCCGGGCATCTTCAAGTTGCCAAGGTTGAGAAACACTGTTCTAAAGCATCCTATTACAAATTATTTTTTAAAAAAACTTCATGGTAGCTTTGTGCTTAGAACCAATTTAGACTATTACAGAAATGGATTAAAAATACACATTTGCATTTGCAGTAGAAAATATAAACAACTATAAAAAATAAGGTATAAAAATTCAGAACTGTAGATGTTGTTGGGTCCTTAATTCATCATATAAGTTGTGCATTTTTGTGCATTTAGATAAATAAATGCATTTCATGCATGTTCATGAGATGAATACATTCATGAACAATTTATACTATATAAAGTATTAAACACAGAAACCAATTACAAATCTTTAAAAGTACTATAATTAGATAAGTTTAAGATTTAGAAATTTTCATCCATGACAAAAGAAAACCAATTACATCCATCCTGAAAAATGTTTTCAACATTTTGCTGTAGGGAAAAAAATATCATTTTTTCACTTTGTATTGAAACACAGTGATCTAAAAAGAGTACATTTTAAAATACATGTTACTGTAACTTTTCTTCAGACAATATTTTTAACTGCATAAATAAGCATAAAATATTTAATAAGCATCTGTCTTCCTCATAAGAAGAGGGAAAAAAAGAAAGGAATCTGATTAAAAGTGTCCAGGAAAGTTTTGCCTTTAGCAAAGTTTCTAGTACTCCATTTTCTTAATATAATTTTTCTTTACAACATCACAAATAGTAGATGCAATTAGATATAGGGAGTTTTAATAAGTTTTAATGTGACAGTTTATTATTTTGATTACTATCATTTATTATTAAAAAGTTCTAGAGTTGAAGTATGATATCATTCAGCAATATGCTTATTTAAAAAAAAAATAGAAGAAGAATCAGATAGTTCTAGTGCAGGGGTAGTCAACCTCTTTATATGTACTGCCCACTTTTGTATCTCTGTTAGTAGTAAAATTTTCTAACCGCCCACCGGTTCCACAGTAATGGTGATTTTATGAAAACCTAATAAAATTTGTTTTTAAATAATGCTATGAAATTTCTTTTTAAAGTCAATTAAATTTTAAAAAAGGAAAGTGCTTCAGTATCGTACAAAACCCCTACCACCCACCATGAAAGCTGGAACTCCCACTAGTGGGCGGTAGGGACCAGGTTTACTACCACTGTTCTAGTGCATGTAATTTGTATTATGTAAATATAAATAATATGCATTGTTTCTATTTTTACTTTGTGAAGTTCAACCCCAAAAAGGCTTTGAAATTTGAAGTGCAGAACAATCCGTATTAAAATACAGTATCTATCATGATTACAGTCTAACATTTATTGCAGTTCACACTGGCTGTGATCCCACTTTTTTCAACTCCCTAGGCAGAGAGATTTCTTTACTTAAAAAAAAAATCATGGTCTTTTCATTCTGTCACATTAAATTAATTTCTATATGAAAACTAGAAAGATTTTAAGATTTTTCTCTCCCTTGGATGATAAAAAACTATTGTAGAGATTTTTCTACAGAAAGCTGACAGCCACTGAAGAAATATCAGTTTAGTTTTGCCATATTATAGTTGAGGTTTCAGTAGTTCTTTGGCAGTTTCAGTGAAAGAGTTGGTTCAGCATTATTTCTAATCTCATAGGTAGTTCCCTTATCAAGATATAATATCCAACTGCATTTAGTTTTTCAAGAGCTGATTGCTTTTTCTTTTGATCTAAGCTACAGAATATGTAGTTCTTATATAATAAGCATTTCGATTTTCCTCTTATGCAGTTTAATTAGAACTATGCATTTTTTCATCCCATCTAATATGTAGGTAGGTATGCATATTAGTATGAGAGTGAAAATTACCCCCAGACATGAATGCCAGGATAAACAGAGTGAAACAATATTATTTGTTAAAATACGTGGCCCGACAAAACCACGCTCGTCAAAATAGCGGCGACAAATAAGCGCCGACAAGTATGCGTCATCATTAGCGCATCCACATTACCGCGTCAATATCAGCGTGACGACGAAAGCGCGAAGGAAGAAAGGTTTTTGTATTTTGAATGTTTTGAAACAGTGAAATGTAAATAAAAGTTAGGGTTAGGTTTAGGGTTAGGTTTAGGGGTTAGGGTTAGGGTTAGGTTTAGGGGTTAGGGTTAGGTTTAGGGTTAGGTTTAGGGTTAGGTTTAGGGGTTAGGGTTAGGTTTAGGGTTAGGTTTAGGGTTAGGTTTAGGGTTAGGTTTAGGGGTTTGGTTTAGGGTTCGGTTTAGGGTCGCATTTTGCTAATCACTTGGGAAGGTGCGGATTTGCCCTCCGCACTTATGTTGGCGCGGTAGGGTCGCATTTCGTTTAGCGCTTCCGACGCCACGGATTAGCCCTTTGCGCTTATGTCGGCGCGGATAAGGGCTTTGCGGTATTGTTGGTGAACCATTAAAATATAACTGAATGCAAGTGGTTTAAGAATGTTATACTTCTTATGTCGATTAAATTCATGGTTACCCTATAGTTATTACTCCCAAATTCTTAGGTAAACATATTATAAAATCAAATTCAATTAAATCAAAATAAAAACAATGATCACATACATATAAACCTCTGGAACATATAAACTGCACTGAGAGATCATACCTAAATAAAAATACTGCTGTGGGGAGGGGGGGGAAATGACTAACAGCTGAAAAAGAGTGATATAGTAAGTTATTCCATTTTTTATGATGCAACTTTAACCCAGTTCCAAAAAGGCACAAAGAATTTTCCACCATGACAATAAGTATTTTTGAAATAGAACTTTGTTCATA